AGCATAATAATTCATAATTTTTTGGTTCTAATCACATTTCAATTAAACTTGGAGACATAGATTTTCTGTTACATTGCGCAGACCTCATTAGTTTTACACTCAAATCTGGTCATATTAATTTTCTGATTTGCATAATTAGTTTTCAGCTAAGTAATTTCGAATTATATTTAATGTGTCTCCAATACTCTCGGCACATGGGAGTTCTTTCTAAGCTTTCTTTGATTTAGATATACCGGTAACATACACAGGCTTTTTGTTTATGGCTAATCTGTTAATTTAAGCTAATTTGTTATTAATTTCAAATATTCCTTATTTCTATTTCCTATTCCGCCAATATTCTTGGAACAAGAGAGTTCTTTCTAAACATTTGTTGACTAAAGCTAGTAAGGTTAGCCAGTCACACATCTATAGACAAGGTTTGTAATATTGGTTAGTCATTCTACTACAGACTGGCTCTATAAAGTTGGATAATTATCTATCTGTTGAAAGCTTTTGTAAATTTGGAAATGCAGTGATGTTTCCGAGTCAGCAACTACTACTCTGGACAAGGTAGGTAATGAAATATGAAAACGGTATATAGTGTTGCCAAGATTGTAAAGTTGGCTAGTTAGTTGTCAAACGAGGACAGTGTAGATAATGCCTCATTTATGGTTTGTTAATTTGTTTTTGTGATTATGAAAAGGGCACAGTAATCAAATTTGCACATACAAGTCCTATGTAATAATATATTCCCAAATTGAAAACCGTAAGTCTTATACCTTGGTTCCAGGAATGCTGATTAACAAATAAGCATAGAATAACAAAGGCATTTATATTTTGCTGTCATATGAACAGGGGTTGGAGACGTGGTGGCTGTGTGCGTTCCTCTGACTGTGATTGCTATATTAAGATGCAGGATGCAGAATGCAAAGGCATCAAATAAGGTTGCAGAATACAAAGGCATCAAATGAATTTACTTCGAATGGCAGGATGCAGAATACAAAAGCATAACATGAACTTACTCAAATGGCAGGATGAAGAATGTGAAGGCATCAAATGAACTTACTTCAAATGGCAGGATGAAGAATACAAAGGCATCAAATGAATTTACTTCGAATGGCAGGATGAAGAATACAAAGGCATCAAATGAATTTACTTCGAATGGCAGGATGCAGAATACAAAGGCATCAAATGAACTTACTTCAAATGGACAGGATGCAGAATACAAAGGCATCAAATGAACTTACTTCAAATGGCAGGATGAAGAATGTGAAGGCATCAAATGAACTTACTCAAATGGCAGGATGCAGAATACAAAGGCATCAAATGAACTTACTTCAAATGACAGGATGCAGAATACAAAGGCATCAAATGAACTTACTTCAAATGGCAGGATGAAGAATGTGAAGGCATCAAATGAACTTACTCAAATGGCAGGATGCAGAATACAAAAGCATAACATGAACTTACTTCAAATGGCAGGATGAAGAATGTGAAGGCATCAAATGAACTTACTTCAAATGGAAGGATGCAGAATGCAAATGCATCAAATGAACTTACTTCAAATGGCAGGATGCAAAATTTAAAGGCATCAAATGAATTTACCTCAAATGGCAGGATGCAGAATACAAAAGCATCAAATGAACTTACTTCAAATGGAAGGATGCAGAATGCAAATGCATCAAATGAACTTACTTCAAATGGCAGGATGCAGAATTCAAAGGCATCAAATGAACTTACTTCAAATGGTAGGGTGAAGAATGTGAAGGCATCAAATGAACTTACTTCAAATGGCAGGATGCAGAATACAAAAGCATCAAATGAGCTTACTTCAAATGGCAGGATGAAAAACGTGAAGGCATCAACTGAATTTACTTCAAATGGCATGATGCAGAATACAAAAGCATTAAATGAACTTACTTCAAATGGCAGGATGCAGAATGCAAATGCATCAAATGAACTTACTTCAAATGGCAGGATGCAGAATACAAAAGCATCAAATGAACTTACTTCAAATGGCAGGATGCAGAATACAAAGGCATTAAATGAACTTACTTCAAATGGCAGGATGCAGAATACAAAGGCATTAAATGAACTTACTTCAAATGGCAGGATGCAGAATACAAAGGCATCAAATGAACTTACTTCAAATGGCAGGATGCAGAATACAAAAGCATTAAATGAACTTACTTCAAATGGCAGGATGCAGAATGCAAATGCATCAAATGAACTTACATCAAATGGCAGGATGAAGAATATGAAGGCATCAAATGAACTTACTTGAAATGGCAGGATGCAGAATGCAAATGCATCAAATGAACTTACTTCAAATGGCAGGATGCAAAATGCAAAGGCATCAAATGAATTTACTTCAAATGGCAGGATGCAGAATACAAAAGCATCAAATGAACTTACTTCAAATGGCAGGATGAAGAATATGAAGGCATCAAATGAACTTCAAATGGCAGGATGCAGAATACAAAGGCATCAAATGAACTTACTTCAAATGGCAGGATGCAGAATACAAAGGCATCAAATGAACTTACTTCAAATGGCAGGATGCAGAATGCAAATGCATCAAATGAACTTACATCAAATGGCAGGATGAAGAATATGAAGGCATCAAATGAACTTACTTCAAATGGAAGGATGCAGAATGCAAATGCATCTAATGAACTTACTTCAAATGGCAGGATGCAGAATACAAAGGCATTAAATGAACTTACTTCAAATGGCAGGATGCAGAATACAAAGGCATCAAATGAACTTACTTCAAATGGCAGGATGCAGAATACAAAGGCATCAAATGAACTTACTTCAAATGGCAGGATGCAGAATACAAAGGCATCAAATGAACTTACTTCAAATGGCAGGATGCAGAATGCAAATGCATCAAATGAACTTACATCAAATGGCAGGATGAAGAATATGAAGGCATCAAATGAACTTACTTCAAATGGCAGGATGCAAAATGCAAATGCATCAAATGAACTTACATCAAATGGCAGGATGCAGAATGCAAATGCATCAAATGAACTTACATCAAATGGCAGGATGAAGAATATGAAGGCATCAAATGAACTTACTTCAAATGGCAGGATGAAGAATACAAAGGTATCAAATGAGTTTACTTCAAATGGCAGGATGAAGAATACAAAGGTATCAAATGAGCTTACTTCAAATGGCAGGATGCAGAATGCGAACGTCATGTAATATTATATCTTTTCGATATCGAACGGTTTTTGTTCAGCATTCACTGAGAAATTACTCTGTCTTTGTTACAAACAGTACCCGTGTACCTATTTCTTTAGTCTCAATAATTTCCATTCTCTAGGAGTGGACTGTTTTTTCAGAACTAATTACCTTCACTATTTGAAATTGCACAGAACCTGGATTCGAAAAGACTGAATGGGTTTAAACAGACGATGTGTAGTTGAGAGCAACGTGTAATTTACTATAATATGTACCAGTACATGAAATCGCAATATCACTTCGTTAAAGTACGGCAACTCGGTTCTAGTAAACGTCTTCTCCCTGTGAACGTCGAGCGTTTACTATACTATAACTTCGACGCCAAATAGTCCGTCACCTACCGTTAGCGTCCTCGTAGTCATAATTAAACTACCAATTAACTGCTGAAAATTTGAAGTAAACCAGTTTTTTTGGGTAGTAACTTAACACGAACTTCATTACACTCTCCAGGACGTTTTTTCGAATATGTGTTTCTATGGAAACGCATTGACGTCATTAAGGAATTTGTGTTTACATCTTCCATGGCAACAATAGCCTCTCAACTTATGAACACGAAAAAGGTATGTTTATTAACCACACTTTTTCAAGACCAATATAGTATGATTTAAGGCCAGACTTTTTTATTCCTTGTTTCTCGAGTTTTTATAAGGCATTTTTTTGAGGAGGGTGGAAAAAAATAAAATTAATTCTTTTTTCCATTAGATTTGTGTGATTCTCAGAGTATTGTAACTGAGATCATTGATCGGAGAGAAGAAATGAAATACAATTTTATTCAATGTATAATCTTGTTTCTCACCTGCGTGAGACTTCGGTACTTTGATCATGGTATTCCAACGAAAATGCAACTTGGGTTTGTTATGCGGCGGGCGGAAAAAATAAAGATAAAAATAAGTTTTTTTTTAGAATTGTTTTGCACTTACAAGTCGGCGAGCGCGAGAAATTACGCCGAATTTTTTTTATTTTTATTTCATTTTTGGCTCCTGTTTATTCGGCGGGTTCGCGAAACAAGGGATAATAAAAGTCTGGCCTTAAGTAAAATAAAACGGAACGGACCATGCTTTCAACAGCAAGTAAAAGTACGTTGACAATACCGTATACACATTTATACTCCATCTACACAGAGAAACAATTGTATGGGAGTGCAGTTACTTATTGTGTCAAACTTTGCGGGGAACAGGTTGACATAAAATATAGCATTGACCGCCTGCACGGTGTTGTCCCATTCGGACATTCCTCCCTCTACAACACCGTGCGGTAATTCTATTCATAACCGTGTATGTCACGTGGTTGCGTGATAGAAAGTTTACCGACCAGCTTTGTTACAATGACTGCCAGAAAGCGCTTGGAGCTTTGCATTTCTGATGTTTTCGGCTTCATTTCTGCAGATATATATTGCAGTGAGATCATGAGCTTTGAGGCATAACACCTACTCTTCTGATCACACTATTACCACGCTTCATGGTCGCAAGGCCGGTAAAGCATAACAACATATTAAGGATTTACTATTTCCAGTGCGACTAAAAACGAACACTCAGACTCAGCACTAAGTATAATTTGAATTACTTTGGTCTGAATGTCATGTCAGTGAGTTGCATGATGTATGGATATCGTCGCTTTATTGCATCGACATCCAAGCTAACACAGCTTCCACTGTGAGCATTTATTCTCGGGTCGGGCACTTTCACCGCCTTGCAACCATCATGGTGAAAACAAATGCCAATAATTCTCAGAAAACGGTAATTTAGGATGGTTGTTGACACCCCCTAAACAATGTAACAAGATAATCCCTACATATGCAACATATTTAAATTTGGTTGTTTAGGATTACTTCAAAGTTAAGTTTGTGCTGTTTTCTCGATTTTAGCTATTTTCACAGGCTTTTCGACTTGTGTTTCACAGCAGCTCGCGCAGAGCCCATAGAAATACACGGCAGAGTGGCGCGCGTCTTAAATAGCAACGTTTGTGACTTATCTCCGCCTCGAAGATTTTGATAGCTTGGCCAAGCGCGTTGAAGAAAGAAGCAATATGATTGGCTGTTGGTAAACTGATTCTAAACTGTGAGGGCATTTTCGCATACATATAGTCCTAATGAAATACTTCAAGGTGATAGTGGAATGCTACATTCACCTTGAAAATTCAAGATGAACATATTGAGAACAAACTTTGCGTAATACTGGTGGACATGAAATATAGAGAACATACAATATGTCAAACTTTGCGTAGAACATGTTGACAAACATATAGAAAACAAGTTGACATCGCAGACACAACACACAGTACCATAAACAGTTTATCAGAATTTATGCATAAAATAGATAGTAACTACTTTATATTTTTAGGTTAATTTATTTTATGATCACTTATTATTAAAAGAACCAGGCACAACACGAAGAACACCCTGGCATAATGACATGTCTTACTGGATGCTTAAGGGAACACAGGTGTGTGTTAGTTAATATGTATATAGTGAAGATTTCTAAATTTTTCATTTGTATATTTTCCCTTCACTGATAATTACCAACTTGTATGGATTGTAAACTTTCTATTATAAGCAATGGACATTAAAATACACAATCTTTGATTCTAGGTGTGCTCTATTTGGATTGCCTTGGACTCCGTACCCAGAGATGTGTGTGTCCAGTATGTGAAAGTATCCCATAAGTTGAATCTACTACATCAAGTTACTAGTTTCTCCAGTGATGATGTGTACGACGATTGCGGATACTCCAAGATACCGGATATTGATGCGATGCACGAAAGGAAAGAAATCGAACTCTTGACATGGGATATGTTACCTGGTAAATATTTTTGTTTTCTTCTGGACAATGTTACGATCGAGTTACTGACCACTATGCTGTTAACACCCCCTCCATTACTATTCACTGCGTGTGAGTTGTATGAATATAAGTGATTTTTTTTTCGTTTTTCTTTTCAGTCATACATATATGTATACCTCACCCTTGTTGATTTTGCTTTATTGTTATTTGTCTTGTTATTGTCCAGGCGATATTCTAATCCACGATGGCATGACGATACACGGGGCACCTGGGAATCACAGCACTTCAGAACGTCGTCGTTGTTACGTCACTAGATGGCTAGGCGATGACGTTAGGTTTGATGGCATACCTGGGACTATTCACAAAGCATGGGCGGAGAATGGATATGACTGCGGACTACAAGACGGTGATGCAATTACGTGTAGTTTATTTCCTGAAGTTCCAGTTAAATCATTTTAAAAGAATGTTGAATGTTTGTACACGTTGTGGCCCAGATGGTCATTTGTTGAATTACAATTGAAAATAATGTATAGTTTATAGAAATTACAATTGAAAATAATGTATAGTTTATAGAAAAAACAATTGAAAATAATGTATAGTTTATAGAAATTGAAGCTACACAAATTGCAAACAAAAACTATTTCTTTTACTTTAAAGCTTGCAAGCTTTGGGAAATAGTTGGGTAATACACATTCTGTGGATTTTATATTAACATCCATATCTGTATGTAGCGTAAAATCAAACAGAGCCTTTTAGCGTCAGGCTTGCTCGTTTTGTTTTTTCATATTCCTGGAAAAATATTCATTTCGTATTCCATAATCTTTCTATCAACGTTGTTACATAAAATACATGCTTATTGAAAACTGCTGGAGCACACCTTCAAACAGTCAATATAATTTTATCTGGATGTCACGAAATTATTACAGATATATTGTCTCAAACTAAACTATCTTAGTTTAACTAACCTATGATGACATCATTTGAAATATCCTTGTTACAGTAGTCTGTTTCACAACAGAATGTACACTTTTTATTCACTTTAACCGGAGTCTCATAGCACTCTGGAGGATTTTTGCTTTCACGAGTTGAGCACGTCTGAAGAACAATTCGCAATGTGATTTATAATTAAAAAGAGAAATACAACTAAATAAAATTGCTTACATTCCGAACCGGACATTTATGAAAAAAAAGCATGTGAATAAACGTCAGATCCAATGCAATTCAGAAATATTGTGCAGCATGAATAGTAACATCT